TTTGAACTTACAATCTTGACATATCTTAATTTGAGCATCATATTTATGAAATAAAACCATGAAAAATTGTGTTACAGGATCTTTCAACATATCCATATCCAAAGCTTTTTCTGGTTAAGAATCAATATTTTTTCCGTATTAATTATGCAGTCATAGAAAGGTAAATAAAAAAAAATATGCTGCCTAAAAAATCTTCCGTGGGCACTCTATAATTAAAAAAAAAAATCTAACACAAGTCTTAACCAGTTTACTCAGGCCATAATGCACATTACACACACATCGATTGCGTCATGCTTCCCATAAACAGACGATACGTCACTTGATACCTGCATTTATACATGTCAACTGTGTAATTGAGATAGAGGTGTGTAGACTTTGTTTGCTACTGGATTATAATTGGACTTAATTATTTTGGCCCTCTGGTGTTATAATAGGTACTAATTATTTATCTGATTTAACGGACAATTAAAAGGTGTGAAAGTCGTTTAAATCAGACCAAACATTGCATTGGGACCTGACAATTAGGCTCGCTTGTCACATATGACAGGGAGTCGTTTAATTCAGACCATTTATATAGGAAAAAACGTTGGGAGTACTGAAACAAGGTCGGATAAGACAGGGAGTCGTTTAAATCAGGGGGTCGCTTAGGCAGTCTCGACTGTACAACATTGATATATGAAAATGGTAAAATTTTGGAAATAGAAACATCGGCAATGAGCCTCGTTCAAATTACATATCATTCAATAATTGTTCAGTAAAATGATGGTTTAAAATGTGATAGCAACTTATAATGGACGGGACGACGACGAAATAATGCAAATGACATACATTCGCCTGTTAGCGGTTCAATCGATTTAGCTTTTTACTGTTAAAGTATAATAAAATGCCAGGCAGAAACCAATTCGTCAAATATTAAGTATTGTGTTCATAGCATCATGAATCATACTCTTCATTAATATACGCAATATATCTGTCGCGTATTCTAATCCGATTCTCGGGGTTTGCATATTTCTATCTCCAGGTTACAGTTTGATGATTATATTGAATAATTTCTGGTCCGAGGAGGTTTTCATAGTTTCTGACAATTCACATATTTCATGATTTCAAGCATGTACCACATACTTAATTCAGCATCATGCGTTTATTAGCCATTTTCTTCACTGGGGGAAAATGTCGAAGAAAAAGTATTAATGTTCTAAAGATATGACAGAATAAGCAAGACATATTTTTATATCCTGATTTGTGCTATATAATGAAAAGTACTTTTGGTGTGTGTATCTCTCATGTTTTGTCTTAAGGGGGAATAAAATATCACTACCACATATGATAGAATATTGTTATCATTCAATTTACTTCACTGATGTAACTATTGGCTGTAAGGTTGCATGCATTTTATAATATCGTACTTGAGCAACAGTACTTTATCACACTTTCATATCAATAGCCAAGCGATATACCTGCTAAAGTATTATCTTTATCTATTTCATTCCCTTTAAATTACATTTTTGAGTTATGCCTTAGTGTTCAATATTTTGTGTTTTTACTTAAATCATTATTTTCTAATGTCTTTCATTGATATTATTTTTGCCTTCAAAGCTGTGGGTTCAAATACCACAAGGGGCGTTAGATTCTTTAATGTGAGGAAGTTCCGGTGTTTCTTATCAGGTGCTCAATCGTGCTTATAATTATTCATAGAAGGGCACCTCAGGCCATCCTCCAATAGTAAAGCTTTAAAGTCGTTATATGGTTGTGCAACGTAAACCCCAACGGAAAAAAAACGTAAAAGCCGTTTTATACTTTGTAACTTATTATGCAATCAATACTATGTTTAGCGCTGCAGTGTTTGACATTAAAATGCGGAATTAAGTCGTAATTAGAACTTATCTAAATAAATTAAAACTTGGCATACATATTGCACGGCAGCCTGGCTCTAATAATTTCCTGACATTTTAAAATTTTCGTCGAATCATCTATTTCTGCAACATGGACATTTTAATGCCTCCGTAATTCGTATGAATCGCTTAGGTATCCAACTACGTGATGAATATTTTAATTAACTTAAAATTAGTTGATTGTCCTTATTTGGTAGACAGTGTTATTTGATGGTTCTCTATCTTTGTAAAATATACAAAATAAATAATTAATCAAACCAGTCGGACAAATGTCGTTAATGTATAAATGTTGTTGTTTTTTTTTTGTATGTTTTATTCCGCATCAGTAGGAAAAAAATAAAAAAGTATGTACAAAATGTGTTCGCTCGTCTTTCGAATATGAAACAATGTTTTATTTTTTTAATTTAAGTCCTTCATTGTAAGTTTAGTTATAGTTTAATCATATATGATTGTTTTTTTCTTGCTAAGTATACAAAACAGATACAATGTCACATACAAACATAAGTCAAAACATTATCGAATAAATGAACAGTGTGTACATAGGTGCTGTAGTTGTTCACAAAAAGCAAAATGATCAAACCACAAGTTTTATCAACATTAAAGTTTTGCCTTTCCCACGATGATAAGATGATAAGAGAGAACTATGCTTAAGAATATATTTCTGATTTACTTGTTATGGTAGCCCGGTGAATTCATGCTGAAACTAATTGAGAAAAAAAGTTCAGAATATGAAGAAAATTTGATTAAAATGATATATATCTTTAGAGATTGTTTCATTAGTTAGAATAATTAGTTCATAGTTACCTCATCCTTCTTCAGCCTCTAGGGTGAACAAAACAAAAATATTTAATCATCAAATTGAGACGACTTGAACAATTATTAAAAAGTAAAATAATTAAACTTTAGCCATATTTCTTTCTTTCTTCCCAACCATCCTAATCTTCACACGGTATTTGATTACCTAAGTTTGCGAAAGTAATATTCAATTGTCCTGAGTGATAATGTTTTTTATTTCACTGAGTGTACATTTATAGATTCATGCGTTGCCTGTATAATTATGTGGTTGTTACTGAATATAAAGTGTAATTGTCTATAACTATAGATTTGAAAATTAGTCAAATTTAATTGAGTTTGAACAATTTATTTAAAGATATGACGTTCATTATAAAAGGCTACTCTTTTTATTCACTATAAATGACTTTCTGTGTCACCGTACTCAGCAGTTGTAGCAGAATATTTATGTACATTTGTATACGTAAACGACATTAACATAATTGGCACATTTTATAATTGATGTTGATTTTGCATTAATTATAACATTTTGTAGTAGCTTAAATTATTTATATTGTTTTTGCAAGCATTCAATTTGACAATTTCAAAACCACCGGAACTTAATTTGAGCATAGATAAAGTTTAACGAGGAAGGGTGGCATTTTATAAACGCATCCTTCACTACAAAATCAAGCAAAGAAGAACCCGGTCCTTTTGTAACTTTATAAGAGGCTAATATGAAATCAAATCACAAACAGTTAGCCCTGAGGTAGAAACAGAAAGTGTTATAAATGAGCAATTTAAATATCGATAACACAGATGTGATTACTATAATGTGGCTGGTTGACATATCTTTTATAAAACACTACTTTATATTTGTCCCAAGGGACATATAATGAAGTTTACTATTCAAGGAATAGAGTATTGTGTTACCCGCATACAAATTGCTTGGATGTTATGATTCTTAACAACAATTTCAGAGCGTGCTTTTAAGACCAATGTTTCTGGTTGGTCATATTTTAAATGCAAAAGCATTCCGCCTGCATCACTTCCTTCATTTCAAAGAATCAACTATACAAAATACAAACGTTTCTTAAAGATGTGAACATTATATTAAGATATTCTTACTGTAATTTTTGCACGCCAAAAATTCTAACATCGGCCAATATCGTAGCAAATCGTTCATAACCGGAACATATTTTTTCACAATCTTCGGTATTCAAAAGAATTAACCTTTTGTTTCAAGCGATAAAGGATGAGTGATTGTAAATACTCTTATGCCGAAGACTTTGAAAGAATAACGTTCCGGAAAAAGCCGATTTCATTTTTTAAAGTTAATGAATTAAGTTTTGGCTTATCTAATTTTTATTCATACATTTTAGTTGTATTTTTACAGCAGTAAATTATCACATCTTTTCATGAAACTTACAATAATAAATTTTGTTACGTTCGTGCAATTGTACAGCAAATAAAACAAAGGAAAACGTACCCAAAAGAGGACAATAGCTACTCATGTCAGAAACACAATAAAGGTCTACAGCCTAGGTCAATGGACCTACCATTACAGTACGTAATGATGTTTGGACGCTGTAGAAATATGTCACATTGATTTCTCTGACAGTGCTAACAACGACCATATAAAACCACCACTAATGGTCTACTTGAAGCAATAAAGCCATTTATTATTCATGAAAATACATTCACGATTATCTGTTTAAATGGGAATGAATCAATTGTTGTTTATTGTTTGTTAGAACAAAAATCTAACTTTGCTTGTAAGATGGTGTACTTGACAAGATATGTTTGAGATAAATCGAATTATACTTACTACTAGTTGTATATAATGTACAATACCACACAATGGGTGAGGGAACAATAGATAACTAAACAATCTTTTTTTATATAATAATCATGTGCAAATAATTTTCTTGGATAAACGCCTAGTAAATAATTTTCAATAGCACTAATACAAGTTCAACAATCATTTACTTATGATTACAAATTATGCCACCTTGAGGTTTAGATAGTTCCGTTACGTAAACATAGTCGTGTGAATAATAGGCAACAGGAAATCATCTGTCATATCATATTCATATTCAAATGACTCAAGATAGATCTGTAAGACTGAAGTATACCTCTGTTAAGCCTCGCGTGACTATAAAGTGTAATTAAAAGATAATTGATACATCCATGATATTTGTCCGTAGTATCATTATCGACAGCTTGAATGCAATGACTAACGTACACGTTCATAGTAATGTCATTGTCAGAATGATAAATCTATTATATGCAAATGACGGTAAGAAGCTTATATGAGTTCAATTACTTTCATTTCAGATACAAGCAAACAGACGACTGTACACAGGTCGGAAATCGACACATAATAATCATGCTTCCATCTTTGGAAAGAGTATTTGCCGGGCTCATAATGATATGCCTACACTACAGCCTCGCAAACGATGTGGTAAGTATTGTATACTACTAGTTCATCATTTCAGATAGTTTTAACAATAATCAGTTTGACAAAGCTGTGCAAACCGAATGTTGGTTGTTAAAATACCTAATTATGGATGAATTCGCAACCGTATACATTCAGAAGCGCTTGAAAGTCCGTATCTCTGGGATCTGAACGGTGCCGAGAACTGAAAAGTAGGACACACACCGACAGTAGAATATGCAAAGCGAACAACAAAGGCAGAAAAGGCAACAAAGGTTATTCAAACAGCAGCTTAGATTATTCATCAAAATGTTTTCAATATAGCCACAATTTCTCCATCTCATGGTATTTTTATAGCATGTAACATGCGTTAACAAACAGTGTACTTTATACTTATTATCTTTTTTAATTTATATATTTCAAATATACAAATTAGTAAAATTACTGCATGTTTTTGCCCTACATTTTTGTCCAATGAGAAATCTTTAACCTAAAAACATTGCATACACTCTACTTAAAAGTTTGTTTAACCATTTATTAAAACGTCGAGCCTTTTTGGATAAACACTAGGCGTGCCTACGAATAGTATGTCAAAACCTAAGTTAGGAAGGACATATAATTATAAGAAAAAAATATATTACTTTTGAATTGTTTAACTAGTTCAAAAATTTGTTATTACACATATACTACAATCATTGTATAAAAAATACGACTTTAGCCTAAATAATTGTGAAGCTCTTAAAACATTGAAGTACTTTAATCACTCCGTCCATCTTCCAAGCTTATTATTATACTAGAATTCTGGTAATGTGGGAGATCCCTCGATAACAGTAAAACCAAAACAGTCAGTATATTCATTAGAGATAACAGGACGTTTAACATCTGGCATGCCCCTAAGCATTGGTTATAGTAGAACTCAATCGTAAAGACTCTTGTGAAGTCAATCACCTAGAAAAACAAGACTAAATACAAAACTAAATGAGAAAAAGAAACGGGGAAACATATAAACTGTTGCCACAAAAATAGAAATATGGAAAAGAGGAGTCCGTCAAGGGCGAGGAAATATCAATTATAAAGTTTCTGATAAATATATTTTCTGCGTGTGTTACTCTCAAATTAAAAGTTGTTCTTTGCTTTGTGGAATTTTGTCCTTTTTATCATATAATAATCTGTTGATTTCAGTTGTCTGATACTGCATCTATGCAAGATGATCTACAAGACATGGACAAACGAAGACTTGATTCAATTGCTTCTCATGGACTAAGTGGCTTTAATAAACGCAGATTCGACAGCATTGCTGATTACCGAGGCTTTTCAGGTTCGTTTATACCTGCATTCAGATTTTCTTCTGAACCACAAGCATATTAAATATACATTCAATAGTATTCCCATCCATATTTTATTAAACATAGTTACATGTACAAATCTATTAAAATATTTAACGTCAGTTTATTTGTTTAGACAGAAAGTCAAAGCAACATGACATTTAATAGTTAGTTTAAATAAGGTATAAAATTGGAAACAATAATGACGCTTAAAGCTAAAATAGTGCCCACATTTTTTAAGGTCTGATGTGCTGAGAAAAAGCCGAACGGCATCACAATAATTTAGTTTTCTCCTTTGATAAATTAGATTTATCTGATGGCTACCGGTACCGCTATATTTTCAGTTTTCAGACCGAAATTCCATACCCTTGGTGGTAATCGTGTCTAACAGTTATATGATTTGGCAATACTAGTATGTCTAAGTAACTTATTAAACCTCAGTCTACATGACTGAAACAAACTTTTGTCTTTGAAATCAATTCCTTGTATCATTTAGTTCTATTATCATAGCAAAACTTTCACGTGTACTTAATAATTAAGAAATGCCTATATCTAAATGTAGCCTCAATCTCGAAAAAACGGGAAGAGCATACATCAAAAGATTGTATTGCTAACGTAACGATACAAAGTTCATTGATCACAGTTCTCTAGTCAAGCCAAGTTAATACAATTCGCAGAGAATACAATTCGACCGTGTTTTAATTCATTGTTTATATCGTACAAATATAATTTGAAATATATCACGATATTACCATGTCAATTTCATAATATTTTCATTTTATCCGAAGAGAAAGTTGATGAGCCGTTCTTTTTTAAATTCACAATATATTCTTAAAATAATTAATTTGGATAACATCAGCAAAGATTTACAAGGATTTTCTGTTTTGTGTTTAGGATTTGCTGACAAACGACCATTTGATTCGTTATACCGTGGCCGACTTAACGGATTTGCCAAGCGTACCTTTGACTCAATACAAGACGGCGGTCTCCGTAGCTTCGCAAAACGACGACTTGACAGCATAGGTGGAAACTATGGCGGTCTCTCTGGGTTCGCTAAGAAATCTTTGGATTCAATCGGTCAAGGTGGACTCAGTGGATTCGTCAAGCGCCCAATGGATTCAATAAACCGTGGAGGATTTAGTGGCTTTGTTAAACGCCCGATGGATTCCATCTACAGAGGAGGTCTCAATGGATTTGTGAAGCGACGACTCGACTCAATCGGAAGCAGTGGCCTGAGTGGTTTTGTAAAACGTAATGAAGACAGCGTCGATGGAGAGGTTACAGATTAAAAGTTAAACAATTAAGTTCAAATCATCAGCTATTAATTTTTAAATAAAAATGAATTTGAAAAGATTAATTATATTTGACATACCGTATTTTTGTAAGAATAAACATTGTGTATCACAAAAAATACATGTGCAATTATTTTGAACAAATATTTATGCATTCATCTTTTAGTTTGATTTTAAATTTATTTCTTTTAAATCTATAGAAACATTTTCATAAACATCGTAATAAAGATCGTTTTAACATATGCCAATGTATGTATTGTTTTATAACAAAAAAAGACAAATTGTCAATTCTACGTTATAAAACATCATTTTACATTATCATCTGCGGCTCTTTTAAATTATCATGCTATAAGTGTTAATGTATTACATATTACTACTGGCCGCTGATATCTAGAAATTAGGAACAACGCAATGACTAAATTACTTGGCAAAATTGATCTAAAAAATCATAGCCGCAATTATTCCGATTTTAAGGAAATAATGTAATATTTCGACAAAATTACAGGCGTTATGTACAGGAATATATAAAACATTGCTGTTATGCAATGCAGATGATAGTTTTAGGATATGTTTAAATCATTACATATGTTTATTAAGAACATTGTCATCATTCGATACATTGTGGACAAGAAAAGATAACTTGAGAATACTATTGATATATTTATGCCAGACTATGTAAGAGTTAGGTAATCTAGTTGTGGTTACGCAAAAAATTGCTTTTTCATTAGTCTTTGTAACCAAGATAAAGGATAGGTTTTGATGCAACACGATATTCATAAACAAAGCAGAATTAGCTGTCTCTTAACTCGAGAAAAATTGAAATTTAACTTGCATCGATATATAGACATAAGTACAGTAGAACTTCTATGAGTCGAACTTCGATTAGTCGATTTTCTCGATGTGTCGAAGAAAAATTAAAGTCCCGACTTTTCCCCCTATATATTCCTTATAAAAACCTATTATTTTAGTCGAGAGTTTTATGGTCGAATTTTCGATGTGTCGAAGATTTTCATGGTCCGTATTAATTAAAATCTAGTGCAATTTACCACAAATAAGTCGAAGTTGTTCGATTATTTTTGACACCGTCGATCTTTTGTCGTATTTTTTTTTTTAACCCCCCCCCCCCCCCCCCCCCAAAAAAACAAACCCCTCCTATCTGTCTGCGAAGACGATTTCCAAATTCAACTTGTGTGGCAGGTTTTTTAATTATACTGCCGTGCCTGTTTCAAAAAGCCCCTTTGTTTGCGATAAAATGTGTGATAAAAAATGCTTTTTTTGTTTTTTTTTAATCGGTTACTATTTTAAATGCCAGTAGTGGTATTTGAAAGTAAACACAGTAAGAACTACTTTCATTTGATTAACATTCCTTGACCCGGTGTCGCGGTGAGAATTAACACGCGGAAATTTATAACTATAAAGTTGGGTAAGTTATCGCCCTTTCGTATTGTTACGCCTTTTGTAAAAACTTATTGTTAACGTCAACGGGTAGTCCAAATAATAAAAAAAACGTTATTTAACATTTGCTATATTTATCATTTGTAAAATGTGAATATCAGATTAATGAGGAAAAAACATGATATAGGTTTTCATTTATAGACTAGTCACGGATTGAAATTTTGTCATGAAATTGAGAGCGATTCATGAGTCGAAGTCCCGATGTGTCGAAGTTTTACGCAAGCTTCGTACTTAACCGAGAAAATTGAAATTAACTTGCATCATATAGACATTAGTGTATATTTAAGAACCCTTATCACAAATAGTTTTAATTATATACTTTTGCACCATGTAGAAATGCTCGCAACTGTTTGTTTGTTGTGGATTGTTGAGAATTATCAAGTCTAGATAATACGTCTTTCATTTTCTTGAATCTGAAAAGAGTATTCACCCCTTTGTACCGACAAATATTCTTTTTTTTAACCAAAAATGGAAGCAAATATTACATTTCAGTAGTAAAATTGCTTTGTTAAATATGAGAATATAAATTATCATTTTTTATTAGAAACTTGATATAAAAAATATCTTTTTTTTCTACAATGCAAAAACACTGTCTTAATTTTGGAAAATAAAATCTTTCTTTTTGTATAAAGTAACTTTACCTCCAACAAGCATTTTGTTATTTATTGTTTCCTAGTATGTATGCGCTATTTCGGATAGTTTTAATAGAAAAGAGATCAAACCTGAATTATAAATAGCGGACACGTCTACATTAAGTTACACTAATACTTAACCTGCTGAAAATATGCAAAACAATACCAACAAGGAAGGGCAGCGTTCAATGAGCGCGACCATTACAAAGCCCAGCAGACGACAGCGATTAGACGTTGTCACCACTATACAACCATGCACATTCGTGTAGTCAGACCTGACATTTAACTAGAATAAAATAGAATATCCGTAAGCCCAATCGTTACAATTAAAAATGTTACCGGCTCTGTTTTAATGAGCCTGCTTATAGACGAAACTTGTTCTTGTTGCTGGGTCATATGGGGGTTGCGATCATTGAACGCCGCCTTTCCTTGTTTATCTTGTTTATCATATTATATACAGTCAACAGTCCAAGAAAGATGTAAACAAGCAAATAAATAACTTTATTGAAATGTAAAAAGTCAATATAAATGAAAACCGTAAAGGTTGGCAAACAAGGCAAAATAAATTAAAAATGTTGTAGGCTCAGTATGATTTGGCCTGCTCGTTGACGAAAGTGGTAAGTGGAAGGTACCAAGCATTGGCTTAGACGTTAATTACAAAACTAATGAGGGAAAATACTTAAATAAAAAAAGAAAAAATAGAATCCCTTAAAAACGCCAAAAATGGCAAAATTAAAAGTAATTGCATCCTCAAAGAGCATAATACGTATAACTATAAGTATAATTCATGTTTAAATGTTTCAATGCCTTATTTTCTCTCCGTTCATTTCTTGTATATTCGGTGTATTAATAAGAGATATTACTATAGCAAAAATCCTTTTTCGAACAGACGTTTTAACTGTTCTTTTTGTCGAAAAATGTGCATTTGTTTACGTGATATTTGAAATTGTTTTCGTTTACTTGTAAGCAATGAGGTAGGATGCAATCAATGAATTTGTAAATAAAGTTCATATCAAGGAAAGGAAACGCAATCATAAATTCATTGTCTTACTGTTACTCACTATTAAGTTGTAATTTAATAATTGCGGCAGATGTAAAATGTAGTTCATATAACAGAATATACAATTATTTATAATACCCCATTTTAACTTTCTTAAAATATTAATCTGAAACCATGTACATTGTACATATTAGTGTGCAATCATCAACATTACCAAAAAGGTAAATAGCTAGATGGAACAATTAATGGACCGTGGAAAAAATAATAAAGAAAGTTACTAAAAATTAAAGATGTACAGAAATTCACAATCGGTAATATTTTTAAATTATGTTTTCACAGTTTGTTTGTTTGTTTGTTTGTTTTATTTTACGCCTTTTTCAACAGTATTTCAGTCATATAGGCGGGTAGTTTCCTAACCATCGTTCCTGGAGAGTATACACCAGTACTAGACTACCTTCCTCCGCGCTAAACTACCAAAGCATCTCCCGGGGATCGAACCCACGCCAGAGAGGTAAATGTTTTCACAGAAAACATACTGTCGTTGGATGAAATAAAATAAAATAGAAATCCACAATATAAGACCAAATTATTTGGCAAAATTAATTTATCAAAAACTATGGATTTTATTGGGTTTAAAAGTAAATCTTCCATAATGTTATGGTCGATGCTCACAAGAGATCAAACATAGAATGTTATTTAACACACATGAATTTTGACGGTAAATAGAATAGAATCTTACGGAATGAAAAATATTATACATGTATTGCATATCATTTGGTTTTAACGTTTTAGAAAGCGGTTTGTACATACGCCATTCGCTCGTAAGGTGACATGCAAAGATATTTCCTTTACCAAATACAAACATTAATTTTGCAACATACAGACATCAAATATATAGCTTAGTACACTTTATTTATCCTTTTGCCAAAAAATTCAAAAGAAGATATTCTCATCAATTTTTAAGATATTTTTGATACTGGAACAAAACAATTTAACTCTGTTTGTCAGCTGAAGATGAAATAAAATATTATTAAAATACTCGGAATAAAACAAAATAACTAACTGTGCAGTTATACTATTTTATCCATAGATAAGTTTAACGGTATTAAATTACAAAGGGAAATTAAAAGACCTTACTTCAAAGTTTTTATTAAAATGTTATTGAATGATTTTGGCCGCTCAAAGTAACTTGTGTTCAACCGAATGACAAGCAATCGTAGTACGTGCATAAACTCAACGCTTAAAGTACAGCAATGAAGATTATAATACAGTTGTCCACCAATGACGCAATCATAAACTGTCTAAGATTACCTTAAATGATCCCGACCTGAAGATCGGATTCGCCACCTGGAATAAACATGACGCATGAATCAAGCCAACCCGCCCAATAACTGCACGACAAAACCAATAAGTAATTGTAAGCCTTTTTCATAAATAATACCTGTCGAAGACTGGACAAAAATGTTGGTTCTTTTCAATGCCTGGAAAAAACATAACACTTAAACCAAACCAACAGTTCAACCACTTTATCGAAAAGTAATATACATTGTACCAAACACTTTGATATAAACTTAGCATAGCATAACATATAGCGTAGAACAGCATGACATAGCAGCCAACCATACGGTCCACACACGGTGCCGTGAGTGATCAAGAGTTGACAGTTCGATTCATCGCCTGGGATAACATAACGCACGAACAAAACTGACAAAACCAATCACCGCACTGTAAAATAGACAAAAACAGAATCCCCAAAGAAAGTCCAACACGACAAAACTGAACATTTGCAAGATAAGTTTCATTGAGTCTGTTCATGGACAGTACTGGAATATGCAAGTTACCGTCCACGCCCCCTATCACCGGCTTGAGCAGAATTCAACATTTAAACACGAAAATGGTAAAATTTTTAATTTAAAAACATCCGCAGATGTGTTTACACGACGGTTATCATGGAACCCTCTATATGACACAGTAAGGCAATTCCATGAAAAGCGGCGTATGGTCCCCAAGCAAAAGAATGCATGTGCCCTAAACGAGAAAACAATGGGCGGAACTAAAAATGCATTTGAAAGGGGATCTGAGGTTATGGTGACTGTATATCACAGACAAGATGCCAATAGACAATTTACGGGATTCTGTTTGCACAAAATAAACCGACATA